TATATATAGTTAGGTGCCATTGAATTGGTTTGACTTACAGTGACTACAGAATGTATTACAGTGAAACACTGCCCCGTTTGCACCTTCCTCACAATCATTGTTGTGCTTTAGCTCATTATTGCAGCCACTGTGTCCTTCTATCTTAATGAGAGTTTTGAGGGTTTTGTCTTTTTCGGTGACCCTCTACCAGCATGATGTTCTTCTCCAGGTACTTGGTAACATGTCCAAAGTATAAAGAGTCTTGCCACGTTTACTTCTTAGGAGCATTCTGGCTATATTTATTTCAAACATATTTGTTTTAGCAGTTCATTTCAGTATTCTTCACCACCATAATTCAAATTCATCAGTGTTTTGGTATTTTTTATTCATATAAATATATTTTTTCTTAATCACTTCCCTGTTGATGAACATATAATTATGATACACACCCACTTCCATCAAGTTGGAACCCTGTAGAACAGAGTGGAGTTGCTCCTTAAGATTTCTGAGATTAAATCTTTATGGGAGCAGGCAGCCTGTTTTTTCTCTTGCAGAGGGTCTGGGGAGTTTAAACTACCAGTCTTTTGGTTAGCAGGCCAATACTTAAGCCACCTATGCCATGAGGGCTACTTGCTTTGATATATATATATATTATATATATATTTGGAGCTCTGGTAGCGTAGTGGTTACGAATCAGGCTGCTATTCTCAGTCAGCAGTTCGAAACTACCAGCCTGCTCCGCCGGAGAAAGATGAGGCTTTCTGCTCCCGTAAACATTTACAGCCTCAGAAACCCTGTACAGGTCACTATGAGTTGGAACCAACTGCATGGCACGTCACAACAACAACATATATATATATGTATTTTTATATTTTATATATAAAAAGAAAACCTTAAAAATTTATTCAGTCTTAATAGAAGTACTTGCAGCACTTCTTTATGATTTTTGCTTCTTTTTTTTTTTTTAGTATTTACATGTATTTTCTTAATCCTTGTAATATTAGATTGGAGAGATAAATAACATCTTTGTTTTACATAGGATAGTTCTGAGGCACAAAGAAATTAAGTAATGTGTCCTTCTTCACCCTACTAATGAGTAATGGGCAAATATTTGAGCTATGTTTTTTAAAATTTCACTGCCCAAGGTAGTATTAGCCATTCACTGTACTGCAATAATTTCAAGACATAGCATATGATCAACAGCCAATGATACTGAAGTAAGAAGTCCAAGGTGCACTGAATGCATTGGCATAAAACAGGGCTCCAGGAATTGATGGAATGCAAATTAAAATCTTTCAACAAATGGATGCAATACTGGAGGAACTCACTCATCTAAATCAAGAAATTTGAAAGACAGTTCCTGGCCAGCTGATTGGAAGAGATCCATATTTGTGCCCATTCCAAAGAGAGGACCCAACAGAATGTGGAATTATCAGACAATATCATTAATATCACATGCAAGTAAAATTTTGCTAAAGATAATTCAAAATTGGCTTCAACAATACATTGACAGGGAACTGCCAGTGGTTCAAGTTGATTCAGATGAGGACATGGAATGAGGGATGTTGCTAATGTCAGATGTATTTAGGATGAAAGTAGAGGATACTAGAAAGATGTTTACCTGTATTTTATTGAGGATGCAAAGGATTTCGACTGTGTGGATCGTGATAAGCTATTAACAATATTGCGAAGAATGAGTATTCCAGAATACTGAATTGTGCTCATGAGGAACCTGTACATAGGCCAAGAGGAACAAGGGGACACATAAATTATGTGAAAAAGGACATGACATCAGTATTAGAAGATGACTCATTAACAGTGTGTGATATTCAGATGATAAAACCTTGCTTGCTGAAAGCAAAGAGGATTTAAATACTTATTGATGATGATCAAAGAACAGAGCCTTCAACATGGGTTGCACATGAATATAAGAACAAAAATCCTCACCAGTGGACTAATAAATAATGTCATGATAAATGGAGAAAAGGTGAAAGTTTTTTTGCTCGGATCTACTATCAACACTCATGGAAGGAGAAGTTACAAAATCAAATGTTACAAAATCAAATGCACTTGACAAATTTGAACTAAGCAGATCTGCTGCAAAGACCTCTTTTAAGTGTTCAAGAGTAAAAATGTTGGTTTGAGGACTAACGTGCGCCTAACCCAAGCTCCAGTATTTTCAGTAGCTTCATATGCATGTGAAAGTTGGGCAATGAATAAGGAAGATCATAGAAGAATTGATGCATTTGTGTTATGGTGTTGGAGAAGAATATTAAAGGTACCATGGATTGCCAGAAGAACAAACAAATCTGTTTTGGAAGAAGGACAGCTCCTTAGAAGTCAGGATGGTGAGACTTCATCTCTCATACTTTAGTCATATTATCAGAAGGGACCAGTCCCTGGAGAAAAAGGACATCATGCTTGGTAAAAGGGAGGGTCATCGAAAAAGAGCAAGACCCTCAAGAAGTTGAATTGGCACAGTGGCAGCAGTAATGTGTTCCGGTGTAACAATGACTGGGAGGATGGTACAGGACTGGGCAGAGTTTCATTGTGCATAAGATCACTGTGAGTCAGAACTGAGTTGATGGCACATAGCAACAACAGTAATGTACTGCATTGGACCATTCTGTCTGTTTTGCTTTTTAAATGTTTTTATCGCTATTAAATGAGGTGTAGGTAATAAATTTGCCTTTTGGAACACAATTTGAGGATAGTTTTTCTGTCTTTCAAAGTTAAGAATGTTACTCAGAATTGTTAACTGTATTATAGAACGAAAGGTTATCTGATATATGCATAAGTTTTAGTTTGACCATAAACTAGATAATGATTTTTTGGGAAAAGATTTCATATGTAGTTGATTTAAAATTTTTGTTATTGTTGTTGTTAAGTGCCCTTGAGTGAGTTCCAACTCATTGTGACCCTATGTAGGGTTTCTGAGGAGTAGCTGGTGAGTTTGAATCACTGACTTTGTGTGTGGTTCAACCTAACCTTTTGGTCAGGTGCTTAGCATCTTATTATATGTAGCGTGACTGGAAGCCTAAGTTAATAAATGTGACATCTTTGATTTTTATTCTCTGAATAAGTACATGCATTTATTTGGCAGTACATTTTTAAAGGAGAAATGCTTTTCTATTTGATTCTACCCACAGTTCTCAGAAAAAAGCATGACAGTTTTTGCTGTGATATATTGCTACCTCAATTCAGCTTTTGTAGAAGTTTGTATTTTAAGAAAGATTATTGTGACTGAAACAATGTTGTAAAAATTAGACTGCTATAGATTTATATAATGAAATTTTTAAGGTAATATGTAAAGGATTATAAAAATGAAATTGTCTTCAGCTATTTCATGTTTGTGTTATTCAGGGATAACATTTTTAAAACAAATATTAATTTGAAAGTTAACTAGTAAACAATAGCAAACATTTTCAAGGCAGAAGAATTAATTAATGTTTTTACTTTAAGGGAACAGATGCTGCTTGTGTTGCTCAGAGTCACGGAGTCTGTACTGAAGATGCCATCACAAGCTTTTCTACAATTCCAGGGGAAAAAAAATATGACCTTGGCAGGTCGACTTGCAGGACCACTTTTCCAGGCAATAAAAATAAATAACTAGACAGATAACCAGATTGATATTCATGTGTTTTTTTTAAAGATTCACTGAGTCCTGAACTTGTAATCTGAGAAAACCTTATCAGGGATCATTTCATATTAAAGTTATTTCTATAGTGTTTATTTAAATATGGCTTATTTAAATAGGTTGTTTGCTATCTATTATAAACTTACATAAACTAGTATAAAAGTGAAGGAAATACCAAGTCTGTGATAAAAACCTTATGACAGACTGATGATATTAACTTTATCTCTTTTGAAATATATATGGTTGTAAACTGACAGAGGGTTTCAAAGTAATGGTTTGATTATGTGTTGTATCTGTTCGCAAGTCTGTGGATTTATTACTTTTTTTACGTTGTGCCATAGTAATAAAAAAGTAGCAAATAATCAAGAACCTTTCTGTTAATACTTTTCCATACTCTTTAAGGTTATTTTTTGGGTTGAAGTATCCATGGTAGTTTGACTATGCAGAATTACATGTTGTATTGTCCAAACTACTAATAGAAACCTAATTTTAAATGTATTACGATAAAAAAAATCAAAAAAGTATTTTCTTAAGATGACATTAAATACAGATATTCAGATAAAATAGTTTTTAATGTTAAAGGTAATAACTGTCAAATCTAATTTTCTGGTGTATTATACCCAGTCAAAAATTTGTTTCATTTGAGGGGTTTTTGCAAGTTTTTTAACGTTTTGAGTCCTCTCATATCATTAGCTAGTTTACCCAATATTTTCTGCTGGTTGTAAAACCAGCTACACTTCACTATCTAAATTCTTCCTGACTTCATTGATCTTTTAAATTAGTTTTCTCAGTGCTGGAACTAATCCAGTGGTGACAGCTACAGGAAGACAGTTTTAGCTTGCTATATGGACTCACTTTTTGGTAATGTGAATGTTTAAAGATAGAATGGGAGGTCATTAGTTATGATTATTTTCTGTGTCTTAAATTCTGCTCATTTCATCTTTATATTTAGTGTGCATTGAGTAAAATTTCTAGAACTAAACTTCTGAAGAAACCCTTTGTCACCTCTTCTGTTGTTGTTGTTGTTATGTGCTGTGGAGTTGGTTCCTACTCATAGCAAACCTGTACAGGGTTTCCGAGGCTGTAAATCTTTATGGAAGCAGAAAGCCTCCTCTCTCTCCCGTGGAACAGCTGGTAGTTTCGAACTGCTGACCTTGAGGTTGACAGCCTGATTCGTAATCACTATGCTACCAGAGCTCAAATCTTTAATAGAAATCAGAAAATCTCAAGTTACAAAGGATATTAATTGGGGGTACTGGTTGGTCAGTAACCTCTACCCTTTCATGTGTATTTTTAAATTATGTGATTGGATTTATTACAGAATTCCTTTAATTCTTCCAGTGTCATTAAATTAAATTTTGATAATTAGTTCATGTATAATTTTTCAAAAACATTAAGTTAGGTACATCCCTAATACAGTGTTTTTATATGTATGTTGTTGTTGTTGTTATGTGCTGTGGAGTCAGTTGCGACTCACAGTGACCCTGTACAGGGTTTCTGAGGCTGTAAATCTTTACGGGAGCAGAAAGACTCATCTTTCTCCCACGGAACAACTGCTGACCATGAGATTAGCAGCCCGATTCGTAACCACTAATCTACCAAAGTTCCTTATGTACATACATATACATCCCTAATATACAGCGTTTTTACATACATATACTTATATGTATATAAGTCCTGGTATGGTACTGTGAATACTGGACTGCTAACTATAAAACCAGTGGTTCAAATTTAGCACTACTGCTTGGAAACCCTTTGCAGGGTTGCTGTGAGTCAGAACTGACTTGACAGCATTTAACAACAATACATAAAAGAATTTTCAAAGGTATCAGCTAATGATTTCCATCTTTAATTTGGAAATGTAGGTTTAGTTCAATAACCATCAACTACTTTCCATTTCAACATTTAATAGTATAAATCCATAACCCACTGTCGTGTTGTGGGACAGACAGCTTTGCCATAGGATTTCCAAGACTGTAAATCTTTATGACAACAGAGCACCTCCTCTTTCTACCACACTTAATAGTTTGTTGTTGTTGTTGTTAAAAGCTGTAGAGTTGGTTCTGACCCGTAGCGATCCTGTATAGGGTTTCCAAGGAGCGACTGGTGAGTTTGAGCTGCCTACCTTATGGAGTCCTGGTGTGGCTCTGTGAGTTAATGCGCCAGACTGCAAAGACATTTGAACTGCAACGTCAACAGTTCAAGCTCACCAGATGCTCCTTGGAAACCCTATATAGGGTTGCTATGGGTCAGAACCTACTCGATGGCACTTAACAACACCACCACCTTGTGGTTCAGACTGACCTTGCAGTTCTGTGCTTATCCTGCAGTGCCACACCAGAAGTATAGAGACTTTTATGTATTTAAAAAGCATTTATTTTATTTAATATGGATTCAACATGAAAGATAGTTATAACTTTTAACATTTGTTTTGTCTTAATGGCAGGAGTATTGGGTGGGAGTTGGCAGTTATTGAAATGAAATTTATAGTTGATAGCATGGATTTTTTTTTTCAAGCGTTAACTACCAAACAAGGGTGTTGGATATTGTGTGATTTTAAATTTTGCTTGTTTAAAAGCATCCTTTTATAACTGAATATCTGATGCTGAAGTCATACACTAAACATTTTATTATTTCTGATTATCTTTATAGACTCTGATAGTCGCCTGGATTAAAGCAAATCTAAATGTCTACATCTCTCGTGAGCTTTGGGATGAGTTACTTTCAGTATTGTCATCGTTGACCTGTTGGGAAGAGCTGGCCACTGAGTGGTCACTGACTATGGAGACACTAACTAAAGTTCTAGCTAGGAATTTATATAGTTTGGACCTCAGTGATTTACCATTGGATAAGCTGAGTGAACAGAAGCAAAAGAAGCACAAAGGCAAAGGTAAAAGCATTTCACAGAGATGCTCCATATAACCTTTCTCACACAGCTGGCTTGGGGAAAACCTACCCATGCAATGCCTAGTGTTGTCTCTTAAATTATTTCCTAATCCATATACCCTGAAGGCTTAAAATTTCTAACAATAAAACATGTTGATAATTTATCATTTTTCTTAAAGAATCTTTAAATTTACAGTAATTTTAATGAGAGATAAAGTGTTCCATACATATATGGTGGTGGTGGTATGCTGTGGAGTTGGTTCCAATTCATAGTGACCCTATCTGGGTTTCTGAGGCTATAAATCTTTATGGGAACTGAAAACCTCATCTTTCTCCTGTGGAATGGCTAGTAGTTTTGAACTGCTTACCTTGAGGTTAGCAGTCCATCTTGGAACCACTATGCTACCAGAGCTCCTTTCCATACATATATAATTGCTGTTAAATAGATAATTCAGAATTTTAGCCACTTTATTTTAAGTAACTAACTGGAGTGCATTTTTATAAAATGTTCTACCTTTTATCATAAGCAGTTACTTTTTAGAACAGAAGGTGGTCTCAGGGTATTATATTTAAAAAGTTGTTGTTTGTTGTTGTTATGTGCTGTGGAGTCGGTTCCGACTCATAGCGACCCTGTACAGGGTTTCCAAGGCTGTAAATCTTTACGGGAGCAAAAAGCCTCATCTTTATCCCGTGGAACAGCCGGTAGTTTCGAACTGCTGACCTTGCGGTTCGCAGCCCGATTCGTAACCACTATGCTACCAGTGCTCCTTATTTAAAAAGTATAAAATACAAATTATAATAAATTACATGGATAGTTTTTTTTCATAGCGTTTGCTTAGTTTTAACTAAAAGTGAACATATCCTAAAAGTTAAATATGTATGTATAATGTGTGGCATAGGATAAGCCCTGGACTGTGAACCACAAAGTCAGCAGTTCAAACCCGCCAGGTGCTCCTTGAAAACTGTATATAGGGTCTCTATGAGTTGCAACTTGATGGCACACAACAACAATGTAAAAAAAATAATAGAAAAAGAGGAGCAGTAGTCTAGTGATCATATCAATAATACATGTTTTTACAATGCTTGGCTTACTAGTATTTTGCTCTCTTAATAATTAGTTGGTAGTTGGACTACAGTGTCAGCAGTTCTAACCCACCAGCAGCTCCTTGGAAACTATACAGGATCACTATGAGTTGCAACTGACTCAGTGGCACTTAACAACAGATTGGAGAGTCTGTTATGAGTCACATTTCATAATAACTGTGTCCAAAGTGTTAAATATGTACCTATACTACTATTTCCTAGATTATTTATTTCCCAAGTGACTGTTTTTTACGGTTAGAGATTCAATAACCTTTTATACAAAATGGTTGTTGGTTACCTCATTTCTTGTCTTTTATTTTTTTCTTTTCCAAATGCTTTGTTTTTATTATCAAGGAATTAGATGACAAGTAACTTATAATAGTGTATAACTTGATGGTATCGTTTAAAAATTTTGCATCCATATTGGAATAAATACGATTTTTACATGGGTTAAAGGTCAAGCTCACCAATCACTCCTTGGAAACCCTATACAGGGTCGCTATGGGTCAGAACTGACTCGACAGCACTTAACAACAACAACTAAAGGTCAAGAAACCTTAGATTACACAACATTTTATGTTGCTGCTTTGTAATTCATTATGAATAAATCTAAGAATCTGAAGGAAGGTAATTTAAAGAGATTATTCATCATTTGTCATGTGATAGTAAACTAAGATTGACACCCTATTTTCCTAGGAGTTGGACATGAATTTCAGAAAGTGTCTGTTGACAAGTCATTTTCTAGAGGATGGAGCCGTGATCAGCCTGGGCAAGCTCCAATGAGACAGAGAAGTGCAACAACCACTGGTTCCCCAGGAACTGAAAAGGCGAGGAGTATAGTACGGCAAAAAACTGTGGGTATGTAGTAGTTAATTTCAAAGGAATTGTACATGGCAGCACATTTATAGTCCATAGTGTTGTATATAATTAAGTAATAACAAAATTTAGTGTATATAAATAGATAATTTTATTATCAGTTATTTTGCATTTAAATGAATAACTTCTATAGTGAAACTTTTTTTCAGAAATATTCTAAGTCCAGCAACATATGTATGGTATGCTATCCCTTTATGATATTAAGATTTGTATCTAACATTATTATATATTATTTAACTGTAGATATCCCTATTTAAAGTGTTACTTTACAGAATTGAAGAGGTAGAGCTCTGGTTCACTTTACAGGATTCAAGCATTAAGTGGTATAGTTTTTGTTAAATGAATATATTGCAGACTTGAAAAATTAGGGTAGCTACTTTTCAGAGCTGCAATTAATAGTTAGGCTTACTTCAGAAACTTTTGGGTAGATAGCTGAGGTTATGGTAGAGTTTATTGTAAAATTCCTTTCTATAGAAGGAATATAATCAGGAAAAGAGTAATAACAAAGGAACAATGATAGAATTTCTGGGCATAATGATTACTCAACATACAGTTGATCTTGCTACCATCTTTTCCTTTCAAAGGTTTATAATTTTGTTTGAATTGTAGAAAGAGTATTAAAATGAATAAGGAAAGCTTAATTTGGAACTTTTCTCACTCTCTTTCATTGCTAATTATCTAAGTGACCTTGGACAACTTACCAAACCTTTCTAGGTCTTAGATATTTCATCTGTGTGGTGGGAATGCCTCACATTCACAAAACAAAATTGTTTGAAGTTATTTAAACTTTACAATCTATGATTTTCCATAAAGAGTTTTCCATGATACTATATTTATGTTTAAGGAGTCCTGATGTCGTGCTGTAGGATAAGCGCTGAACTGCTAACTGATAGGTTGGCAGTTCAAACCTACAAGCTCCTCCTTGGAAAACTTATACAAGATTGCTGTGAGTCAGAACCTACCTGACAGCACTTAACAGCAGCAAAACAACCTATCTATATTTAAGGGTAATCAATAATAATAAACTATTAATTTTAAAGTAATGTAAAACCATTATTGTAAAGGTGCATCTTTTATAAAATAATGGGCTTTAATAAAATGTTAAAAATTTTGAGCTTGAAAGAAAGTATCAAAAAGAATATGGAAGGTGAAAGATTTTCAAAATTTGAAAATGCCTGGTTACTTTTACGTCCTTTAATCATATTTTCAGAATTGTCCTCTGCCTATAAAAAAAAGCTTAGCATTATAATAACTATATGTGTTAAGAAACCCTAATATGATGCTTTAAGATAAACGTTGGACTGCTAACCTTAACTTTGGTGATTCAAACCCATTAGTCACTTCTGGATACCCTCTATAGGGTTGCTATGAGATGGAACTGACTTTACTACACTTAACCGCAACAACATATATGTTAGCTGGAAGAATAAAAGTTGACACAAGGAAAAGCATATTGATAAATTAAAACTAATATAATACTTAGGAATTTTGGTGTAGATATATTGATTACACCTGAAATGCCTCATTTTTTTAATATCACATTTACAGAAAATATTTGTATTCATTAGAAAGTAATTTTTCTTTTAAGTTTAAAGTTTTACTTTAATGTTTAAACTTTGAAATTAAAAACAAAGTTTTTTTATCATAGAAGTGATAGTATGTTTAATGTGAAAATTAAAGTTTAAGGAACCATAAAGATCCATTAATTCTTTAATAGAGAAGTAATCATTTTTTATATGTTGTAATATTTCTTCCTAGTGTTTTAAGTAACATGTAGTGAAAAGTATTCATCTGCAATTCATACCTGACTCTGATTACTTTCTGGTACATTTGACAATACAACTTTGTTTAGCTAGTTTATTGGACAAGCCTATCAAATAAAAAGTTAAAGCATTATAATTTTTGTTAAGGAAGATGGATGGCCACATGAAATAGGAAAATACCAAAAGGAGCAACCAGTTAAATCAGGAACATTGCATATGCTTTGGTCACATATTTTCTTAAACCTTTAAAATTAATTTTATATCTTTAATGAGTGTACATAATTTAAAAAGTCAAGCTATGATACATGTTATACACTGAAGTAAATTTTTCCCGCACTACTACTCTCTACCCTCCTTATTCACCTCACTAGAGACAACCATTGTTACTGGTTTCCTGGACACCCTTCCAAAGATAATATATTCAAACAGGCATAAATCAAAATGTTTACACTATTGTGAGCCATGAATTTTACACATTGATATGAAAAATATCTACAGAGTTCACTATGTAAGTACTGTTTTAAGTATTGAGGATATAATGTGAACAAAGCAGATAAAGTTGTTAAAGTTGATAATTCTCGTGGGAAAAGACATAATAAACAGATAAACCAATAAACATTTTAGGAATAAGGGACTAGAGAGTAATCCAGACCAGGCCGTCAAATTGAATCTCAAATTTATGGCAATCCCATAGGCTTTTGTTTTGGTTTTTGTGTGTGTGTGTGTTTTATTTTTTTTTATGTACACAGAAGCACTCCAGAATATATAATCATGTAAACAACCTAACGGCATATTCTGCAACTCTGCCCACTGGCCACCAGCTCACAGCCTTTCTCTTACCATGAGTCCTCATTTGCTCTATCTCCATGTCCTCATCTCTGCTTCCATCTCAGGTGTCGCTGCTTCTCTGGATAGGGTCCCACATTTCGTTTGTATTCTTCTCCTTTGATGGTCCTAGGGTCCTCTGTTCCTAGACTGTAAGGTTCACTACTTGCCTCTTTTTGTTACAAAACTCCTTATCTTTACAGATGTGACCATCACAATTAGTCATAACAGTTACTCACTATTGAACTATAAATATCCCTTTCTCCTTTCACCAGACCAGTCTAGACAAGATGAAAACTATTTAGTAGAGATTCTACCTTCACCCACACTCTGAAACTAAACTGTCTTTTGAGAACTTGTAAACCAGCCACTTCATGCTTTTATAGCCCCCCCATTTTAGGTGCTCAGTGTCTAAGTTGCCCATCCTTATCAACCCTGTTGTGTACAGAAGGGATAGCATTGATCCTTGATGTGAAGACTCCTTCCCTTTCAGTTGGTATTTTGAGCTACTACATCCATAAGTATAGGTCAAGTTCATTAAAGTATAGCAATTTACACTTGTTTCCTTTATCAAATTTCTTTATCTTTCTCTGTTTGAGTTCTGATCATCAAGTCATCGAAGCAAGGTCAGATGGGTGCTATTTGCAAGTTTGGGCATTCCTGTATGTCTCCTCCCCTCACTTCATATCAGCTGGATGCTTCACTCTCAGCTCTAGCCCCCCATGGCTGGGTGCTTAGGAATCCTCAGGTCTCACCACACTTCTGACCAATAAGCCCTTCCTCTTCTCTGTCTCATCTCCAGGTTGATAGAAGTCTTTGGAGCATGGCCATACTCATCCCATATCTTCATTTCTGCCTTTTCCCCATTTCCACTCACCAGAAGGAGCTCTGGTAGCGTAGTGGTTATGAATCGGGCTGCGAACCTCAAAGTCAGCAGTTTGAAACTACCAGCTGTACTGCGGGTGAAAGAGGAGGTTTTCTGCTCCCGTAAAGATATATGGCCTCGGAAACCCTGTACAAGGTTGCTATGAGTCGGAACCGACTCCACGGCACATAACAACAACACTCACCAGAAGACCAATGTGGTCACCAGCAGGCTTACATACCTGCGCGTTTGTTCCCTTTAAGTTTCAGTCTTGAAGGTGTGTTTGTCCTGAAGGGACTTTATTGCTTGCCTTAATGGCTTCCTGGCAAGCAACTTACTTGTTCTTGTAGTAGTCAATCAGATTGCCAATTTTGTTTTCAATTTTACTGCTGGTCTTTCTTTCAAGAAGTATCTTCAGTTCTTCTAGCTGCTGCAGGCTGGTCTGCATGTCCTTTCAAGTGGGAATGCCCCATTTCAGAAGGTTCTAGATGGGGTTTAGAGTTCCACATAAGATCCTATACACTACAAAGGCTCCACAAAAAGCCTATTTCACTTGGCAAGTTCTAAAACCCATTTTAAGTATTCCAATCAGTTATAGGCTGAAGATGTTCAATAGGCTGTTTAATAGATGTGGTCCTGGTGTGGCGCTGTAGGATAATCACTGGGCTGCTAACCCACCATCTACTCCTTGGAAACCCTACAGGGTTGCTATGAGTCAGAACTGAGTTGGTGGCACTTACCATCAGTAACTACAGCAATCTTTTGGTAAACCCTGGTGTGGCACTCTATGGTATTAGGCTGCTAACCACAAGATTAGCAATTCATACCACCAGCCATTCTCAGAAACCCTATACAGGGTCGCTATGAGTCGGAACTAACTCGGCACACATCATCAAAACACAACTGTCTTTCAGAAGTAGATTTCTAGACCTTTCTTTTAAGGCATTTTTTTGTCTCTGGATGAATTGGAACCATCAACCTTTGGTTAACAGTTGAACACTTAATTTTTGTACTACTCAGAAACTGCTTGAAAACCCTATACAGACAGGGTCACTATTATTATTTGGAACCAACCAAGTCAACAGCACTTAATGACAACAGGAAATCCTAGATGGTGATTAAAGGTAGGGAAATAGGGAAATTGAAGGTCTGTCATTATCGAGACCTGAATAAAATGGGAGAAAACCTAGTGAATATCTAGAGAAAGAGTGTTCTATGCCGAAGGAAAAATATAAAATGCTCTGGGGTAGGAGTATACTTGTGTGTTTGAGGAACTAGTAAGGAGACTGGTGTGACTAAAGTGGAGTAAATAAAGAACTAAGTGCTAGGAGATGATAGAAAAGATTTTTGCATGTCATAAAATATTTTGAACTCCTATATCATACGCCATTACATTGAAGTACCATATTTTCATTTGTGTCCTGAAGATGGACAATTACTTTATTTACAATTTTATACTTAAAAATGGAATTGAATATGATATATATATGTTGTTGTTAAGTACCGTTGAGTTGCTTCTGACCCATATT